AATAAATTTGTCCAGGTTAAGAGCAGCACAATAAGACTTCATGGTGTTCCAAATTAAACTAAACAGACGCAGAATCCAAGAATTACACTCAAATTAAATCCAGTACCTGAAATATTTTCACTAAAAAGCTTTATTAAGAGAAGGAAAGAAAAAACAAGTGAGCACGTGTGCACATGTAGTTTTAAGTCTATAAGGGATAAACATTTGCAGATTATTATGCTAAGTTCTTGGAGTTCAGTTGAATCAAGCTAGGGATTACTGTTCTCTATTCCCAGTAGTTCTCTGAAGAGAACAGAATTGATTGATTTTTCCCCTCAACCGCATGATTTAGAAAAAATTTAACTCTCAAAAACAAGCACAGACAGTTGTTCGATCAGATCTCACCTGCTGCTGCATGCCAAGGAGCAGAAGGGGAAAAAAAAGAGTCACACCAAGGGGAAAGGGTATCAATATTTAAAGGCTCTGAACTCAAGCTGGACCTTGTAAGAATTCAGTTTTAGCATTAATGAATTTCAGAGGTGGAATGCATTAAATATAGTACTACAGAATTTCAGTGTGAGAACCTAGCATTGATATATTTTACGCTAAGCTGGGAAAAGTAATCATTTCTGGTACAGATGTAACCTACAAAGTAAATATTACTATGGAGAAGCCCAGATTGCTAATTTTCCAATAATTAACTAAAGATAAATACTTGAAAATTAAAAGAATCAGCACTAATTATTACAAAACAAAGAAATGTAACAAGCTTTTAGATTTATAGAAAGTTTTATTCTACATTAACTAATAATTGGTGATAAGTGCTTGACCATGAGAAAAATCATAGAATTATTTTAGTTTAAAAAGTAAGATTACAGTGTAAGAGAAAGCATTTCTGGTACATCAGTTCAGAAGCTCCAGAAATAAGACTTCAAACTTCAGAAGTTTGCTCTGCTGTTTTGGAAAAGCAGCTTGTTATCGGAGCTAAAGCGTCACAGTCACCTTCAATATTAGGGCTGTCTTCATGATGTACCATGTAATCACCAATTTTTTTCACTTAGAGGACCAGCAGCTATCTATCAATGGTTTTGGAGGTCATCTGACAAGACACGGTTTTCTGTTTCCCTGGAGGGGGTTTTTGGGTGTTGGGTTTCCCCCCACTCCCTCACTAAGCGCTTCATTAGTCTCAGTGTTTACTAAAGGACTTCTGATAATGCCTCAATTTATGGCTAGATTTCATGAACAGTCTCCTACATAATAACAGTCTCCTACATAATTAATTCTTTAAATATCTACCTGATAAGAAGAAAATTAGAACATATAGCACTCATTTTTCAGAAAGCACTTTTTACATAGCGTGTAGCTGGAACTGAAAGAAATTTTAACGTTACCTACTATTTTATCTATAGCTTTTGCTAAAACTTATCCACTTAGTGTCTTGTAAAGTACTCTGCATTCCTCAACATACACCAACTGTGGTTATGTTTTACAGGCTAGTCCAAGTATAAAATTTGGTACTTACTGCTGAAATGTTCCAAGAATATTGATGTGTGGTATAACTGAAGTAAATTCTCAACTTTGCGCAGGGGAAAGTTGTTTAACAACTATCATTTTCCAAACTTAAATCACTCCAAGAGCAGTCATGACCCCTTTCTTAGAACCTCAGCCAAAGACATGTACAGCTGAGATTAAGTTTGTCATCTCCAACTCTGATTTATCTAAAGTTACAGGACCAGAAGAGAGAGGTTAACAACTATTTGTAATTACAAACTTTAGGTGATGTTATTTCAGAGACGTAAGGCTAGTTTTCAAACTTTTCCTTTGTGTAAAGACCCCCATCTTTTAGGCTTTTTAGAGCTGCTGTAGTGTTAGCTCACATATTTTTGGCTCATGAAAGGGAAACCAGAAGAAATTGGCTAAAATTAGAAGGTGAGGAAGATATATTGCTATGCACAGATTGAACCTCTCTTGTTTCTTCCCACTCCCCGTTCTCCCACCACCATATTATCATGTGCACCAGACACCATATAACATCAATTTGCCAAGGTAAATCTTCAGCATAGAGTTCTGCAAAGTATCTTGAACACTTTGCAAGAGTGAATCCTTAAGCAAGTGTACTCTGACCAAGCATCAAAAGTCATATCATCTTACACAGTGAAACCCAACTCAGGATTTAAGGTACTCAGCATGAGCTCTAAGCAATGCCACAAAGCCAAACGAAACCCAAAAAGCTAAGAGCAGCTGCTGTGCTCTCAGTATGCCACACAACTCCTCGCTCAGTTACGTAATGGAAGGCATTGGCTGGGAAGTGAGGGTCAGAGTGGTTTCCCTTTTTTATCTAGGGATTTTAAAATAGCCCTGATTGAGTTGATTGCAAGTTTCTTTGGTATGCCGGTAGACACCAGGCAAAATAAGAAAAGGGAAGGGAGAGGTTTCATTCTACACTAATCCATATCTGATTAACATTTCTTTTTCTACTTTACTCTCCAGCTGACCTGTGAAATAAGAGGCAAAATGCCCCATATTACGGACAGGCTCATCCACAATACCTCATACTTTATAGGTGTGATAAACTGTTCTTATTTGAGGAACAGATCCTTTTTAATGGACAATATTTTGTGTAGTCAGGCTCTCTGATCCCTGTTTGCTCTTTGAAGAGCAATATAGAGCCCTCATTTTTTTCTTTTAAAAGAGGCCCAGTATGCCCATCTACTCAATCATCTGTTCAGTATTTTCCTGCACTGGGAAAGCAGGAGACCCCAGTAATATTTTCATGTATTTCACACGTGAGAAAGGACACTCCTACCATCATGAAATTTGTCTGTCAACATACCCCGATTGGTGTGGGTTCATAACTGAGACTGCTTGCTAAATAAATCTGCTAACACTTCCACATAGGTTTTTGCAACAACTTTAAGAGAATAGACTTTTATTTAAAAATTTATAAAAAATAAATTCTTCTAATTTATCAGAAATATATTAAACCATATTATGAAGTCTAATATGGCTTGAAATCCTTCCAGACACCTCAGTCCATTAAGCTTCCCAGTTATTACCCTGTTTGCCTTTTTTCTTTTCCTCCCCCTCCCTCTTTTTAATCAGTACCCATTTTCTCTTTTCTAGTACAGCTGCTTAAGAGGTCTCATTTCTCTTTGCAAGTAAAGCTAGGTTAAGACCTGTAAGATTAGCTTTTAATTTTTGGTAGTATATAGTTCTGCATTCAAATTTTCAGAGGCATCTACATACTGCTGTACTGGTTAGCAGCATATCCCAAAACTGAAGCACTATACTTACACTTCCATAATTTAAGCTCATACGTAATTGCTTGTCCTACTACTCTCCACTTGATCCTCCCCCTCCTCTTCTCTTTTCACCCCCTGCTTCTGACGGAGGAAAGAATATTTAGCTTCCAACTATTTAATGAATTCCTTTCCACAGGGATCTCAACTGTCAATTTAAGTGCTTCTGCCTAACCTGTTTACCTAGCCTGCCTACCCTCCGCTGTTTGCCTAAGGAGACTCATTTCCCTTTGAGGTTCTACATCGTTCTTCAGGCTTAAAAGTCCCGTCAGCCAAGTGGGGCAGAAAGCTTATCAAGATCACAGTATTTTGATCCCATGAAAAGGGCACTACCACCTTAAAAAGGGCAATTCAGAAGTGGAAAAAGTGGGAGAACGTGATGACTCGGGAGTGTTTCAGCAAAGTGATCAGATATTTGCTCGAAATATAAGAATTTACATATTCCAATCTAGTCACATTTAAGGCAGTAACAGTTAAGAACAATTTTGTGATGTCCCTATTATGCCTGAAGGATCCAAACATAGGTCCCTAACTACACAGTAACACAAAAGACTGTTAGCTTCCAAGACAGAATTAACTCCGTCATCTTTGTTGCTAGAATGCAGCAATGAGACAGCCCCTACCAGCCAGTAAGGCAGCCTTTCCTCCTCTGGAGTGAGATCTCCCCTTTAACTCACTGGGATCTCCCGAGACCCAGTGGATTAGAATACCAGGCCATGAGATGCCAGAACCACATATGAAGAACTTGCGAGTCCGAGCTGAACACACTGTCAAGGCTACTGTTGACTAAGTCACATAGAAGCAACTGGAAATCCACAGCTTACCAGCTGACCACTACACCGCAACAGTATCCCTGTTCTACCACATTTTCAGCTATCCAGTAACCCCCCCTGATACTAGGACAAAGGTTCTGCATCTCCCATCCTGTCAAGTAGGATGAATTGTCAATTCTAAAAGCAAGTACCAGGTGCCCTCTCTTATAGGTCTTTTAACCTGTCCTAGAAACACCACTAATAGCAATCGGATGTTTTAAGTGATATCAAGGGCTGACATTGATGTTGAAACAGGCAAACTGAAGAAGCACATGCATCTTCCCTTCATAAAACAACATAAGATTTTTCTAGGTTATTTTTGCACATATCTGAGGAAAATGGCTACCGCTGAGAGATAATTTTTAATGCAATTTTTAGATCTTAAAAGCTACATGCAAATGAGTTCACAATACACTTTGATTAGGCAAAAGCTCTGTCTTCAGCATTGTTTGGAACAGCTGCAGTGAGACTCACTTCAAAATAAGGATTCCTTTAGCTTGTTTTTCCCTTTTCAAAGATGCTACTCCTACATATATATCTATACATATGTGTGTGTTTGTGTGTGCGCGTGTATATATATATAAAATATAAATTCTAACCATATTCCTGATAGTATATTGCAGGTTTCAGTAGTTTGCAGCAAATTCTGATCCATGGACCCATAACCAGTTGCTTGCTCTGATACTTAAATTTTAGTTTGATAATCAGAGACCATAGAAATATTTTGCACAATCCACCTCTTTAGCTTGCCTGAAATGTGATGAGCAATGGGTTCCTAAAACAAGTTGTTTACCTTGCTACCCCTAAAGCAAAAGGAAAGAAACAAAATGGGAAAGCTCAAAAGGTTTTGCTTTTGTCAGCAACATCTCCTTCTGCCAAGAATTACACCGGAATTTGCTCAGTTACTTACATCTAAAGAATCTTCATTGACCAGGATGAGAGACATGCTCTGTGAAATGAGTCTGCAAGAGTATCCTGTAAAAGAAAAAGAAGGATTTCTTTTTTTAAAAGGATATTACACTTGAGCTAAACCTCAAAAGGGGCATCTATAGGTCAGATCAGGAAATATATTTTGAGCAGTTACTCCCATCAGGCAGGCTTTTGGAAGCGTTGGTGTGTAGGACGCATTCCAACTTGACACATTTACTAGCAACAGAGGCTGCATTTCTATCTGCAGTTCCAAATACACAGCTTTTAATAAGTTTAAGCTGAAGAAAACCAGTATTAACTAGATATAGTAAATATGTGGTATGCCTCTAGAGCAAAAGTAATCATCTGTATACCTACAACTTTGTTTCTACCTACATGAAGGCAGAGTTTCTGTGCTTCACAGGACGAGACCTGAGCACGCAGCTGCAGCTATGTCACATGGCTGAGAGCACACACATTGCATCAGCTGGTGCTACCCCCAGTCCTCCTGGCCCCACATTTGTTCCAATATGTTTGTTTGCTAAATGTTTGCTACTATACAAACATTTTCACTGCCGCGAGATTATTGTGAAAGTCCTAAGCTTTATCAAGAGCTACAGACTGACAACATGCGCATAGCCCCCATCAACTCCTATAAGCATCCTGTAGTTGTACTGCATTGTCCTTAGCGTAGGGCTGGGGCAAGAAAGATTACAAGACTAAGTTGCCATGGACTAGAGCAAGCACTCAGCAGGCAGTTGCATACTTTCATTAGGAGAGTAAAATTCAAATAAAAAATGCTGACAACAGAAAAGCCTTTTTTTTTTAAGCAGCAAGAAACAGTGACTGCAGTACTGCTCAATACTATTAAACTAGCAATACTTCTACCACAAGATTGTCATTGACATGAGATAAAGTGACATGCAAGAAACACTTGGCACTTATAGGATAAACGCTTTACTTTCCAGCTCATATTATGGCAAGGGGCAAGTCATAACTCTTGCCAGACTGACCCTAGTGCATCCTTCTAAAAGCTCATGCGAGTTCTCTTAGGAGTGGTACAGTCATGTGGCTTCACAAAGCAACAGAGAATGCATCTATTGAAGTGATGAACGTGCATGCCTTTTATAGCTGATGCAAATTAATGGAAAAGGAAATACAATGAAAGTATTTTGCATTCCTACTGTGCTCTTGTGTGAATGAAATCAGGTAACGTTCATGGTAAGCCTAAGAACTGATCGTCCTACGATGAGGCCTCATGAAGTCTATTTGCCTATTTACTGCTGCTACAGTGGGTCTGGAGCCCATTACACTATGAAAGTAATGTCCCAGTGGTGAACCACTGCAGAACTGATAAGTTCAAAAATAAAACAAGAGTACAGTAAGGCAACAACATTAAGTCTCTCTCCATACGTCACAATAGCAAGACTACAACTGTAGCATGAATTTGTTTTCTGTGGGATATTTGGTTCCTTCGGAATGCCACATAGGTTCATCAACGGCTGTATAAATCATTCCCTCAGGCTATAGAATTTTTATAATCAGTCTAGTTTTATATGTATTTTCCAGGATCAACACAAATGCTTGAATGACTTCTGCCAAGAAAGACGGGGGATTTTATTTGTTGGCAGAAGATATACCTACATCACACAGTGAAGCACCTTCAGATAATAAGCTTGATTACTTGCAGAAGTTTTGTTTCTGCTTATTTTCACAGCTGATGGGGAGTATGACTGTATCAGAAGCAACCTTGCAGAAACATTTTGATCTTCTTTATGTTAATAAGCTACAGTTTACTTTCTGCTTTAGAGGAGGATAATGAATGATGTTCAACTCATATACAGCTGTTGAGAAAGTTTTGAAATATATTCTAATAAAATGCAGCCTATAACAGGAAAGCTGTGGAGACTTCTATGACTTCTGCCAGCTAACAAGTCTTTAAGTGACATGGTACAAAATTGAGTAATGAAGCCTCAACAGGTACATACAACACACTGACTCCAGAAAAAAGTCAAGTCAAAGTTTGCCACTGTTTAAAATTAGTCCCAGAGTGAAGAACCACTTTCTTCTTCTTACTGGGGAGAAGAGGATATTACAAACTTAATCATTTCCCTCCATGCCAGGGCTATTCTGTCCCGAGGGAATGGCAGCAGCTTTGTGCAGTAAGCTGTTACAAATACAGCATAACTAATTCAAAAGGATTTTCTAGTAGCATTTGATTGGAACAGCAGCTGCAACAGCTAGCTATAATTTCTAAACTGCTGCTCACTGTTTCATTTTGTATCTTTCAAATCAAGCAAGAATCCATTTGACAACTGGAGCTGGATAAAAACATTCTGTGGAAAATGCTAAGTAGCGTAGCTCTGTGGTGTGTTTTGGAAATGAGAGTCAGAAGAAACCCATCCTGCAACTTGAGGTCATTTCATGTTTTATCATGAGATTGAGTTTAGAATAGGAGGGTATAAGTCTACCACCATTTTTTAGGATATTTATATATCATGTACAGTTTTAGGACTATGAAGGTTTTAAAACCTAGCCCTAGTGTAAAATAAGGTAACTGGCAACTGTAAAGTTACAAGTCAAGTTTGTAGTTAGACTTTATACACAAAGTCTTATAGTTACTTCTGGCAGTACTAACAGCAATTGAAAACACAGACTTTAAGATCAGTGCATATTTTTGTCAATGCCTTTGACTAGAATGAGATCAACTGCTGGCTCAAAGCCAGACATAAAATGTCAATCCACTCTTGTAAACTGATGTCTAGGTCTTCAATTTAAAAGTCTGACTAAAAGACCAGGAAGCAGATGAATCAGGTACTTTTGGGATATATTTCCCTTCAAGGGCCCTGGGAGAAGGATTGCTGCTTGCATCAGAGTTCAAGATCATTCCACAGGCACATTCACACTGCAGACATACAGAAGCCATCGTGTGAGGCAAACTGCTTATCCTCCCAGTTTACACATAGCGCTTAGGCCCTGCTCAAGCTTCACTAGGGATACAGCAAAGCACAATGGCACCACCTCAATTTCCTCAACTCTAAGTGATGGTTCTCCAGAACAGAAGTGTTCCAGAAGATGCCTGATGAAGAGAAGGAGAATAGAAAGCAGCTGTACATGTGGATTTGAGTTATCACCAGGTACAAATATACTATCCTGTGAAGATACAGAGTCAAGATAAGTATATGTATAGATATGACAGGTAACTCCAAGCTCAGGATTTCCAAGAAGGAAGATTTTATACTATTTGGTATGTACAACTGCTGTTAGCGCAAGTGCCTTCAGTAACTTGGCAATAGCTTTACGTGTTGAGGTATTGACACCTGTCCTCTGCTGCTGCTCAGGAGATATAGAAAAGCAAGTATACTTGCAAGGACACTAGCAGCCTACCATCTCGAAGTAGGCTTCAACAATAGACAAGGGGCAGTATTCTTGCAAACCCTGACATGTATTTTAACTACCTCAGAATAAAGCTGGCTGTCTTCTTCAACAGCCCAAGAATTATTTGATGAGCCTACATTTGTTCATGTAAACAGCCCTGCTGATCCTGAAGGTATCAAAGAGAACCTTGACCTTAAAAAGTTCTGGCTGGCTGGCTACCAGCATAAGGTTGACCAGTCACTAAGGGCTCAAGGAGATGGTCCCAAAAAGACTCAAGTAGCAAAGTCAACCACCACAGTATATCCTCAAGAGGAGCCGACAACAAGAGGAGCTTTAGTCCTGGCCAAGTCGTGCCTCTCAGAAAAGGCAAGAGAAAGGTTTATATTACTCCTATATTCGGACATAGAAGTAGAGTAGCAATACATTCTTAGGTGGGGGTTCACTAGAGTGCCTCCTTTCCTGAAGGACCGATCTGACAGTGTTCCAGTGATGCATACATCCTCATTTCACAGAATTAGGCTGCTACCTCTACTACCCATTTTATCTGCTAGTTATCTCTTGTCAGGGGGGAGGGCGGGAGGTGGAGAGGGAGAAGAATATATCAGCCTTAGGATCCATTTTTTCCAGTCTCTGGGATTCAGCTTTAAACACCTTCTTCAGAACATCTCCAAAACCCAGAGTATTGTCTGGCTAAGCACAGTCATGAGTGGAGTCCCTGAAAATGCTCAAGATGCAGAGGCAGAAGAGCAGGAGAACAAGCCACAGAATTTTGTGCTCTGGTTACAGCTTTAGAGATCCAGAACTCCAGCGTGATAATCAACACATTCGGTAGCACAGAGCAAGTTTGGCCCTGAAGGGAAGGGCAGGAGGAGCAAACAGGGTAATCTATGCCTAAAGAGTTGATTACTAGAGCTGTCACTAAGTGGATGACTAAACAGGAAAGCTGTTGTCTACAGTGGGCTAATCTGAGAAATTATTTTAGTCACTGACACAGTTTGGAGGTCCAACTATTGTTGCAATACTAATTTCTTTCAGGCTGCATATTACTCTGAAAGTATGAAGTTTGGGGCCTCCAAAGAGGCTGATCTCTGCTGCAGTTAGCCATATCCTGGGCCTCTTGCAGGGACACTCTAGAAGCTGACAGGGTGTCTAGAAGCTCTGAGTATCACAAATTCCTCAGTTAAACGTACAGCAGAAGGCAGTTCTCGTGCTTATGAATGCAGCTCTAGGTAAAAAGCTGAACTGAAGGGATTGATTCCCTGTTGAATTGAAGAGATACACACCACTAAACACTTGATTCCCATTCCTAGAACGCAAACTGTTACTAGAGAAGTTATTGGCTAAAAACACGTCAGTTCAGATATCCTGCAACTCTGCTAAGCACAAGGATAGCAGCAAGCAGAACCTGTCATAGTCTTAGTAGAGTGACAGCCTCATTGAAAAGCAAAGGAGACCCATAGTCTGCAAATCATTTTAAGAGAATGATCAAGATGCAAGAACACTGCTAAACCTTCCAGAAACTGCTTGCAGAGACTGGCTAAGGACAATGTCAGCAGCTAGAAATTGAGTTGAGGCCATAAGTCATGCTTGAGAAAGATGTTTTGCAAAATGGAACAGGGAGAACAGCAGGGGACACTAAAACACCACCCTCCAAATCAGCAAGGCCTAAATCTTGCTAAAAGGTCATGTAAATTCACTTATAAAGCATCAGAGCTTTTCCAAGAGAAGCCTGAAATACATCCAGATCTATCTACATGCAATTCTATATATAAAAAGCTTCACTGGTCATCTTTGTTCATACAGTTAGAGAATCTTCAAGTCAACATTAACTGAGGCAGGCTAAAGAAACAGCAGAAGCAGAAGGCAGGCTATGCTGTTCAGGAGTCTTATATCCTACACATGTGCATGTAAATGAACTAATCTGCAAATCTGAAGGCAATTGTGGATTGTACTTTATATGGGTGAATTTGAAGCAGCTGGGATAAGCAGAATGTTCCAGACTTCAGAAGACACTATACAAACGTGTACTTTTTGTTCATATCTTCGCAAGTTTTTTGCATTGTAAATAATGTAGTTTGTCAGCTAAGATGCATGAACAAGTTTGAGACATAAGGATATCCACCCTGCGCCTTGACAAAAAAAACCCATATTGAACTTCATTCATATACTCAAGAACAGCAGCACCACATTCCATCAAGATAACAAACATGACATATATATGACAAACATATATGTGTCATATAAGGTGACAACGAAAATAGTTATTCAAGCATTCACCTACTGTCACAAACAAGGCCCACAAGTTGTAAGCTATATGCTTTGCATATCCCAAACTCTATTAAAATCGACAATAGGCCACCAGTGTAAGAATATGATGGACAGGGAAAATTGTAAGACAATTATAAAACGTAATGCACAGTAAAACTGAAACATTACAACTGGGTTGACATCTTGATGAAAACTGAAGGGCCTCAAAATTTACTACCTCCATACAAGAATTTTATTTAATCCAGAAGCTAGTAAAGTGTTCATTTTTCCTTAAAATGAGCAGAATACAGTCTGACATTGAGCAAAGGTTTTCCTCCAAAAATTCCAGTTCTCTAAATTAAAGGCTACCACGTACCTGTCCGTTACCAAGGAACCACTCTATAAAAAGCAGGCCTGTTTCTGTAGGTAGCAAAAGATCTAGTACGTAGTCTGCTACATATCACACTAGTTCAAAGTAATCAGAAAAATGGATACCTATATTGAGAGCTGTTTCCTGCTTGTCCCCGGTCAGAACCCATATCTTGATTTCTGCCTTCATTAGTGTTGCTATTGTTTCTGGAACACCTGCTTGCAGGCGGTCTTCAATGGCTGTAGCTCCAAGAAGCAGTAAGTCCTGAAAAGAGGAATTTGAGGGATTGTTTTCTTTAGATAAACCTCTGCTTGGAACATACTCAAAAAGGGAATTAAAGACAACGTGCTGTGCCTCAATGCTAATACAGTATTTTGACAAGCAATATACAGTACAATAAATTTTTGGTGTGGCTATTCTACTTCCTCTGCATAAAATTCACATTTCAAGAGTTATGGAATGGAACCACGTGTTTCTGATCAGAAAGATGGCAGCGTTTCAAAGGCAATTCATTGAAGTTATACAGCTCCAGCGCTAGCCTATGGATGAACATATATATTAGAGCATTCACTAATCACCATAGCAACATGATGAGTGGTCACAGTTTATGTGTTTCTTAAGCTCACAAAACAAAAGTCACCTGGCATCACATCATTTAAACTAATTTCCATCCTATAAAATGTATACACAGACCGGATGCAATCACTCAAAGCAGAAATTATTGCAACTATTTATGGACATAATCATGACATCTATGTAACAGAAGTGGTATGAACATTAATCAGTCCAAGTATCTCTAGTCTACATACAGATGTCTGCCGGAGAAGAATAAGAACGTCTCTTACGACAACTTAGTATTACAGAGTTAGCCATACTCTTACGCAGTTCTAGAGCAATTGATTGAAGTCACTTGGCTATGTTACAGAAAAGAAAAATCAGGCAGACAAAAATACCTAAGAAATAAGCATCCTGCAAAGACACAATCTAGTCAGACAATTTTGACTTGAGAAGTATTTTAATGATTCCTTTGGCAATGAAGGATGTTCAGTTTAAGATAAATTTATACAACTTGAGTTCAGTTATAAGCAACATTTCAGGCATCGTACAGAAAAAGTAAGAGTTTCTATTCTCTGTAAGGACAATAATTACTCAAAACAAATGTGAAAATTGAAGGAGAGGTTACAATTAATGCCAGCGTACACAGCCTTACAAATAACAGGCCTTAACAAAATCTAGCTTCTGTTACGAGATGCTTAGCTGGTAAAGGTAATAGAACAGACTTCTATAATTCATTTTCTTTAGTATCCTATTATCTCCTGATAAACAGTTAGCCCCACCAGTACTAACACAATTTGTAGATAACAAGAGTACACATTGCAATCCCAACTCCAAACAATTGCCCCTACCTGGAGGGGTTGTGGAATCCATTTTGCAAGATGATATTGAAATGGGAAAGTTGGTAGAAAGTTGAGAGCCAAAAATTATTCAAGGACTGAGAAGACAGCTTAAATTGAGAGAATCAACCTATACTGAACTGACCGTTTTTCACCTAAGTGTAAACAAAGTCATATGAAAGCACAGTGCAGGAATCAGAAAGAAACTAAGCAATGAGCACAAAATGAGACTTTAGACATTAGTCTGAAAAGCAAGACCTGATCTTTGCCTATTACTGAAAGATTCTTTGGAGCATTTTGGCTCCCCTGTGAAAGCTAGCTCCCATCCCAGTCTCAGCCTCCTCCTCTCTCCTGCCCCAATTAATTTAAAAAGCCAACCAACAGCACTCCAGAATGTTAATATTAATTAACAAAAGCAATTGAAGCTCAAGAATGTTTAAAAGAAACCACTAAACAAAAATCAAAGTGAAGTAAGAGGAGGAGGGAGTAGAAAGAGCAAAAAAAAAGAACGCATTTCAGAAGTGCAACTGCTGGCATTTCAGAGAGCAATAAAGACCAAAGAGTATCACAAAAATATAAGCCCATGGTGTTCAAATTTCATCATCAGTGTGAATCCCATTCAATGTGAGATTAGTGTTTCAAACTGGTGTCTTTGATACTGCTTTTCCCTTGCAGAATTATCCATTCAGCAGTTTGCAGGGAAAAGAGAAGCTTTAAATATTATTTCAGCCTATGTGACTACAGGCCTCAATGAGCAAATTATTCATTTTCATAGAGAAATCACAGACTGGGTTTTTTAAATGCTATTTCAGACACTGTAGATATAATCATGTTCTTTTCATATATTAGCCCATAGGAACATGGTACAACGCACTGATGACCTAGGTTATCTTCTATCAAGTTACTTCAAGCTTATGCAAGATAACAAGATTAAAAAAATACAAGAAATAAGAAGACTGTAAGTAGTAATGGCAGTTCTAAAGAAGTTTGCCTCAAAGACTTCAAAACTAAACACCTGAGAAGTCTACAGACTGAACACATTCCCAAGTAGAAACGCCTTTCCCCCTCTCCCCAGCCAACAAAGTTTAACACTTTGTTGTACTGGTATACTGCCTAAATTCCATGGCAAAACACATGTAAAGGAATCAGCATCCGACCCTCGGAAACGGACATGCTTTACCTTCTCAATGATCTCATAGCATTCTTCCAGCTTCTGCGTTCTGTCTTTCAAAATTGTACTGGCTTCATTGTAGACATTCAACCACTCTCTGTAAGTATTTTCTGACAGATCTGCATAAGCAATGCACAAAGTCCTCAGACCTACAAAACAGAATATAGCCATTACACACAGTAAAATTACACCAAGTTTCAGCACATCATTAAAGTGCTAAAGAATGCTAAGCTCTTAGTCCTCTCACTGAAGAGGACAGAAGCTTTTAATGTATAAATAATGTTAAACTCCAGATTCTCGACCAGCTCTCTGTACATTTTAAAAGCATTTGAGTTTTCATACATTCAAAAAAAAGAGTGACTCATTTAGGTCACTAATGCTGGTGTAAATCAAGAGATAGAGTCTACAGGTCAAAAACTTCTCCCTCCTTTTCAATGCTGCAATTTAGCCATATTAGAGCAACAAGAGTGTCACCTTTACTATTTTCCATTAAAGTCTGAAGCAAGTTTGGCCTTTTTAATTAAAAAAATGATGATCAAATTAAACAATGAACTAGCTATATATGATTGGAGACACTTATTACTGAGCCAAATACACTACTCAGCCCAATATTTCCTTTTAGAAAGGCTTTTTTCTTCAGCGCATGCACATAACTCACTTTAATAATGGGAGTTACACATGCACAAAAGAGTAGAGAAAGGTCTCATGAAGTAAAATGCCCATCTTACAAGACCACTGACAAAAATTAACACACACAACTCTGGCAGAAATTCAGGCAGGACTCCACTGGTGTGCCATAAAAAAAAATAAAGGTTTAATTACTAAAACCATGGAAGTTTGCAACCTTCTCCCCTTTTTTTTTTCCAGGATGAATAAAATAGTTCCAGGTTTAGGAAGAAAATAACCATTCAAGTTCATGTTTTTACTATAATGACACCACTTCATGCTACTGTGGAAGAGGGAACAAAGCCAAGTACTCCCTGTGAATGTAGATTATTACATCAGTCATAAAAGTCTTAATTAAGGGACCATTTCAGATAATCTTTGGAGTCTGGATGTCTCATGTTTCTCAATATGTTCAGATTATCTCTCTGCTTCATATAGCCATGACTTTTGAGTCATCTGAGTTTTACAATGGTAAAAATACCACCTCCAATGCAATTGAGGTGTTCAGGGAGACAGAACTCAGGCTCCTTCCCTCCATCAGCCATGTACAGAGCTCCAACCTGCTTCTTCCAAACTCCATTTCCCTACTGAAACCCAAAGAGAAGGAGAAGTAGGCCACACATTTCCTCAGACCTAAATTTATCCTAGAGTTGCTAATTTGCTGATCACACACCACTTCTGAAATAATCTTCAAAGTCATCTTATTTGGCACTGCAAAGCTTAAACAATACCGAAAATACTGCAAATAATTTGATAATTCAACTCTTGTCACATGCTGTTTCTCTTACCTTCTGTGGCGAAGTATTCAAGATGGCACAGTGTTTGCTCCATATACTGGGAATCTTTTGAAAGCCTCTCAAAAATTACATTATCCTATTAAAACCAAATTCATTACAACAGAGTAAGTCCATATATGAAGTTTCCACTTGTGCATCTACAAGCTCAAGTGAAGTAACCTGACAGGATCGGCTACTATCATAACCCAAAACTAAATTTACAAGTAATGCATTTGGTTTTAGGCACATACATTTGAGTACATTATCTGGGTTGTATACAACGGCAGAGATACTCCCACTTCAAATACTGGGCAATAGAAGCACTCTTCCCTCCTCCCCTCTTTCCATAAAGGGGTTCCACTAATCAAACAGTATGAGACATTCCTTCATTAATAATTAAACTGAATATATTTGTTTTCAGACAATAAAGCTGTCTGATCTTATTCAGTACTCATTGTAGTTCCATGAAGAAGGGCTTCTTCTTGCAATCCTTTTTAGATAAGGCTCCCATTGACATTAAGGAGCAAAAGGAAGAAACATTAAACAGGTTCCATTACAGAATTGTCTTGGAAATAAGCTTCTTCTCACCAAAACTGTTTATTTATCACTAAATCAAAGTGCAATTGAAATGTGTAACCGCATGGATAACAGCAGTAATGAAAACGTAGCATCACCTACCCACCTAGAGTCCCTGTATTTTCTTCTGTGGCTACCAGAAGTTGCTACATATATGAAAAATGAGAAACCCTATTTTTGCTTGAATATGCGCTCTTAAGCAAACTGAGTATACAGGCCTACCTCTATCACTGAATAGAGATAGACATACCGCCAAATTGATTTATAATGAAAGTGCCAGGATGGGAGGCGATGGTCAGGATGTGTAAGAGTTCATGTAGAACAGGCAATTTACTTAGAAGTTTAGATGAGAGTGTCAGATGCAGCAGAACATAAAAGACAACATCTCTGTTTGAGGTCTGATCCTGATCATTCTGAAATTTTTGACTACAACCTCTCCTGGTTTTCCTTCCCTTCCAGTGGGGCACTCCAAGAAACTACTGTGTGAAACAAGCAGAGTAAGAGCAGTGACTGAAGACCACACACTGGCAGTCATGAGACCCTCCCGCGCCCACAGCTTTGCAGTACTGCACAGTGACAATGGGCCGAATTCACTTCCACTGCACCAACATGAAGCTGGCACATCTTTACTGAAGCAGTGGAGTTCGAGTGAAGCAACAGAGCAGTGCACCCAGACCTATCTGTCAGGACCAAGTCAAGTAAAGCAGATCCCTTCAGAAGTCAGAAACAGTTCCCCTGTTGCAAAAAACAATGTCCATGATTTCCAACTGAAATCAGAACCACTTACTGACTGTGGCCAATGCTAGTTTTACAGCTTTTGTATTTTTGTAAGTTATTGCCCTTGTCAGCAAAGACAGAAGCACAACGTGGTGCAAGTTATGATGACAAATAACAGCAGGTGCAGAGATGTGAGAGCGCCAAATCAACAGCCAAATGCTTGAGGGCAGATTTTAGCATTACAGGTTCAAACAAGAGCATTTAGTCTAGCTTCTGAACTGCTGCTGCACAGCTGGGTGAAATCCCGCCTTTGCTGAAGTAAAGGGCACTATGCACATTAGTTTCAATATTTCAACCAGGTGGTAAAAAGCCGAGCAGCCTTTTGTCTGCAAAAAGAGTCAAAGGAGGAATTACTGATCTAACTCATTTGGCCCTAAACGGAAAGCCAACAGGTATTATGTATGAGACCTGAAATGCTCACATCTTAAAGCCATGGCTGTTGAAACAATAACTGGTATTGTTAGTTCTCCATTGAAGTAGTTAATTACTTACAGCCCCTTTGCAGTAGAGACGTAGTTGTCCTGCTGGAGTTCGAACAATTACTGACATTCTCTTTCTGTTACTGTAGAAAAGAAAATATTTAGTTTTCTCATTAGTTGTATCGATCAAGAGTAAATCCTGTTCCAGTCAGTAAATTTTCTCTGATGTGCTCAGCGCACCTCAGATCAGGTGAGATGGAACAGTAGTAACTTAAGACCCAGCAATCCTAGACAGCAAAGAAATATTAAATCGTTGCTTCAGTCCTATGGTTCTTCTTATACAAGAAGTCAACCTGATCTGATTTTGCTCAAGTTCACAGACAGGGCTCATATAGATTTGCATCCAAAAACAGGTAAAAACTTGGATAAAGACAAGACTGCTCAAATATCCCTTTCAAAGGAAAGGGGAGTTTGCTCTCAGCTTTTCCTTACATGAAGGAAATTGTTTTGGGAACTCTCAGCCTAGAACTGGAAGTATTACAGCTGAATGTGTATTAGGTGTAGGCTTAGTAGACTCTGAAACAGCCACCCATGGACTTTCTAAATTGAAAGAATTGAGAACGCGTAGAAACATGTCAAAAGGAAGAGTCATGGACTGCTGGGTATACAGTCTTGAGAAAAAAAGACCTAGTACTAGCAAATGTAAGCAAGACTCCCATGAAGAGATGCCACTGTAAACACCAAGTGACAGTTTTGAAGAGGCTTTTATTTAAACTCTGCAAAAAAGTTTCCTGCTCTAGGATAAACTGTGGTACAAGCCAACACAGGTTATTAGACTTTAAAGGAAAGGACCACAAATTCAGGCTACGTTTTGTCAGATGCACTTTGAGTGCTTCCTCCAACATGAGCCTAACTCATTCTTTCTTCGCATACCATCTCCATAAGTAGGCAACTCTCCCCTTCCTTCTAGAAATCTGACAGCTGAAAGATTGTCAGGCTTTCCTAGCACGAAGTTAACTTCAGACTTCATTTTCCTTATGATATAAGAACATGGATGCAAAGACCACCCACGTAAATGGCAGTGATTGTTTACTCACACAACTTTAACTCTGCCCTTTTCGTATATATGATACAGAGCAGCTCTCAGCTTCCCTACAGGTTCTTTATATTCATCTAATCAGATATATAGTTGAGACGACATAGAACAGAAAGTCAGACCCCTCTAAGCACAGCTGCGTATCAAGACAAAGTCAAGTTCGGGATGCATTTAGTTTACATTTTTTAAATAAAAGTAAATAATATCATACTGTACACAAGTGTTTTTATCAGTGGAAGACAGCTAAGGATTTTTTTTTTAAATTGATTAATTTTGGCATCTCACTTTGCAACCTCTCCTTTAAAAGGGCTACAGAAAAAGAAAAATGCAACTTCCAAGGGGCAACCAAATCAACCCCATTCCAGAGAGTACAGGAGGGTCTGTGGTTTTATATCCAAAGAGAAGCCATTTGTAAGTGTAATCCCTTTCCTCAGTGAAAGGACGTTTGAGAAGCAGAGAAAATGGGAGGAAAAGCATTCTCCTTCCTCATTCCCCGCTTGCAAATACATACAGACAGATCAGAGTGTAGAAATCCTCCTCCTCAGAAGTTGCTCTGGGAGATTTAACCCTTTTTCAGGGCTCAAGAACCATTTACAAGAAAATAAGCTTTTAGCATGTCTGATCAGACAGAACACAATCTTTCCTGCTGTACTTTGTCATCCTTCTAGACTTGCTTCATAATCAACTATGCCCAGAACAAGCTAGTGACCCTAGGAAACTTCTCTGGGCTTTTGAAATCTAATTACAGGAGGTTCCTCACTGGTCAAGTGGGAAGGTTGCTACAAGCGTACTTGGTACTAAGGTACTAAGTACAAGGTACTAAGACAGCCTTTTGAAGAGTGCTGCATGCAGGCTATAGAGCCTCCTGGTTGTGGAGGGCAGCAGCAACTGATGGGCTTGTCAGAGCCCCCAAAGGATTCTTCTAGCACCCTTTCATGGATTTTCAGAAGCTGCATAAATAGCCACATGTCAGAATGAAAAGGGGAAAAGAAATCAAGAGGAATCTTCAAAATAAGGCAAAAGAGAAGAAAAACTATTTACTCAAGCCTTCCCTCTCTAGTTTTACTTAGCATATTCCTTTAGCAGAATCAGCCAGCTGCAAGAGGGCAAAGAGCAAAAATTCAAGTCTTTAAGCCAAAGCTACAGTAGAAAAATAAAAACACTACATAGAAAAGCCTGCTGACTAGCACCATCCAAGCTGATAAAACTGTATTCACTGAGAAGGAGAAAGTACCACTACAATTGTCAGAGATTTAGAGGCCCAATCTGCTTCACAAAGCTTCTTGCTACCCAAGCGGTACCTGTCCTAACCACCCCGACTACTTTCAAGTGTTTAGAAGGTTGGAGTGCTTCTTACGAAAGGGCACCAAAAACCCTCCCCTAGGAGATCCCAGCTACCCAAATAAGAGTGAGTTAAAAGAGTGCTATAAAAGCACAGACTTCAAGCGTGGTCTTGAAGTAGACAAGTGACACTCACTTGTTTCCTGACATACCAGTAAAGAGAGGCACAAATGACACTTCCAAGGCAGCCACTTCACAGCAAACCTACAGCGCTGGAGTGGCAGGGAGATCTCCACGCTCATACTCCAACAATACTACAAATTGGTGGCAATTGGCTAAGGTATTAACCTTACACTGGGACCACGGGGATGGAGAGACAGGACAAAACTAAAGTGCAGCTTTTCTGCTGCATCAGCTGAATCTTTTTATTCCTAACATATATTTACAAAACAATTATCCTGCTAGAGAGAACTTACCTGGAAAACTCCAGCACATTAAGAATTTCAAAAGTTTCTTCTTTTCCCAGCTATGAAAGAAGACATGTACTTTAAGTATATATTGCATGACATTCTTACATGTGTAAACATGCAAGTTGGTTAAAGCATTATTATTCCCAAACCCCAGTGTAAATAGTAAGATATGGTAATAGCTCCCTCTCCTGGTAAAAGTGATGTAGAGCCCTATTTAATAGAACTACTCCAATCTTGTCTGAAAGTCTAAGATTGTGGCTTTTTTTTTTTTTTAAACTCTTTTATGGCTCTGCAGTCAACGTTTCAAGGAAATTAACTTTTACTCTAGAAGAATAAGCATGCTCTGAACATTAAGCTGCTTGTTTGCTTTTTAAAGGCTCTCTAGACATTTATTATAAACTGTGGGCTTCATTCTATGATAAGACAAACAGGGTGTCCAGATTCGGTATTATAATAACCACTTTTCCTGAACTGCCTTAATATTTCTTTTAATTTAATCTGCAAGTATATATTTTTTTGGCAGCAAAATGGTTAGAGTAATCCCTGCTATCACTAGCAACCTTTTTTGTCCCGTTGCAAGTGTAAGCCATGCACGACCTTTGCTGGGGTTGAGCACGGGCAATTTGAGGAAGGAAAAAGATGTAAAAATCCCTAGTCTTTGCCATTCTTGCTGTACAACATATGCTAGGAGCAGTGGAAGTTACTGGAGTCTCAGAAACACTGTGGCATTTGTAACACATGGCATAAGGAAGGGCTCTACTGAAATCTCATCAAAGTAATAGTACACAGTTATTTCTATGAGGCATAGATTAATTCAGCAACATCCCGAAGACCAAAAGCCATCTCCATTTGAGGCATTCACGTTACAAATACTGCCACTGCCTGCAGGAAATGAGAAGAGACTGAAATCTCTGGGGGTAACATCTTTCACCACTGTCTATAGACAGATCATGCTCTGAACTTTGACATCCCACTGAGGGGAATAACACTAGGTGAAGTTAATCTGATTTTCTGCAGAGAAGGTGAGAAGACCCTGCAGAGGTCTGGATGACAGATCCTAAGCTGCTCTTAAACTACAGTAACAGCCTTTTGCTAAGTCCTGAAAAGTTTGTGACGAAACCTGAAAAAGATGCATATTTTATTTAAGTGCTTAGTTTGGGAGTATACCAGACTGGTTATTTTTGAAGATTTGTAAATGAATGCACCCGAGAGGAAGGATGAAATACATGCACTATTAAGTACCCTATTATGAATTCCAAAGTAAGTTTTTATCTCAGCTGCACCCATCTAAGACTGCAAATTAAGTCAGAATGTGGTCCCATGAGTTTGAGATTGCCCATAAGCATTAACCTTAATGTGTGAAGGGGCATAGTTAACAAATACACAGAACTTGTTAAGCAGATATATCTTATATAGAACATCTCACTTATACTATTCAACTGCAAGAATTCAAACGTTTAGAAGAACAATAACTGCTAATTCAACAGAACCACAGAAGACCTCCTGCTAGACCCATGCATTTCCTTCCAAGGAAAGCATGCTCATCTGGGCTTCCCTGACGAGGGAAAAATTCTTCAAGCACATTTCCCATATAAGCTTGCAAGTTCTTATGGTTCATTCCACACAGAAGGACAGGGGAGGAATTTGTATCTAAAATAGACTGAGTCAACCCTTCCCAATCTGCAAAAGCCTCCTGCATGTAGCCTCCTAAAGGCTCTATAACAGGGAACTTGGGAGAACCTCTGCATAAGGTTGGCAGTCACTGTGCAACGCACATCTACTTACCGCATCAATGATAACTGAATGTGGTGTCCTTCCTGTGAAGACGTAACCAAGTCTTTTTGCTCCTTTCACTAATGCACCTTCATCTGCCAATATAAGAAAAAGTTGCATTTAATTTGGTGGGTAGAGGAAGAGGCAGGTGAAGCCTGTACCTATATATGCCACATGGCCAAAACATAGAAGCCAACTTCCCCGTGTAATTGAACTTCCGCATCTGCGGCAGATAATGGACTGCTGAAGTAGCTCACTTCCACAAAAATATTCACATTTTCACTCCTGTAAAGGCCATATAAGATCAAGTATATACACACTTGTACCCAACCTGTATAAAACATCCTGTAAATACTGAAGCATTAAGCTCTATTGTTGAGGAAGAGCCCTACTTATTTCTTCCTTGTAAAAGAAGAGGAAAGAAAACCAATCGTGAAAGTGACTAAGATCAAAGCTATGTTACTCTATATTCCTGTAACACACTTTTAATCCAGTTTCTGCCGTAACAATGTTAAGTTCTTGTCAAAGAAATTCAACATGATCTATTGGAAAGTGGACTAGGTACTGTTATTAAAAGCTCAAATAACTGAGCTGGAACCAGAGGCAGCACCTCTAGTAGCTAACTACGCAGCCTGTGAAGGAGCAAGGGGCAGCAAACACAAGCACCAGACAAGTGAATTCAGTGTCCAGTTCCAGCAACCCCTGTTTCCCTGCATCAGCACTGTGACCAGAGCTGTCACACATGGGCTCTTCATCCCACTCCTAACGCACTCCATTAGGACACAAATAGGAAATGATGCTGTTTCATCACTAAATATATCACCACAACAATTCTAGAAACATCTTCATTAGTGAAGGTAATTGGATGGGGAGCAGGGCCCTACTGTTCTGCATTTTGGCCCTTGCTTAACCCTTTCAGGGCCTCTGTGGTGCCTCATAGCACTATGTCTTGTATCAATGCCGTGTATCTGCATAAAGCAACATGGCCGCTAGATCAAGAGGAAACAAAAAAGTGCTAAGAACTTGCACGCATAGCAACTAGAGACAATAACTGTCTATGCAGAGATAAATCCTTACTGCTGTAGATCATCTCTATGTAGGGGAGACAAGGCACAGAAAGCCTTAATTTTGCTCGTCACTCCTGCAGAAAGAGTCAAGAGTAGAAGACCTCATGAGAGTAGAAGGGATCACGAGTCCAGTTTAGCTCTACATAAACAACAGGCATGTCAGCAGTTTTACAGGGGACATTCAAAAGCAACATGCACTGACAACAGAAGATGCCAGATCTACTGCTAGCAATTAAATCAGAGAATGTTTTGTTTTTAAAACTAATAATGTTTTCAAAACTTTCTTTTTTTTTTTTTAAATCTACTTCTGCTCCCTTGCTCCTTTCTTCCCAAAAAGAGAAAGAAATAACTAACCTGGAGAGGAGGCCTGGTAGATTATTTTGTTTCCTTGTCTCTCAGGAACAACAGTATGACACACTGCCAGCAGGGTGAGGAACTCCTGTATGTGCACAGCTGTGGGCTAGATAGGACATCAAGCAAGTCAGTTTTTGTATTATAGGTAGCCCAAGAGGCTGCTGTTCCCCAGGGCTGCAGAGAGCTCTCAGGTGCTTCAGATATGAAAACAGACTGTTCCCTACTTCTAATAATCATGTCACTTTGCTCCAGAACATCAGTACAGCAGAGGAGGGTCAGCATTAACGAACTAGAATACTAAGGCCAAAAGCGTCATTTAAGTGATGAAGACCTAGGAAGCCAGAATCCCCTTTCCCCCCCCCACCCCAAACACAAAAGTGTTAGTTCGGTAGTGTCCCAAGCTCCAGATAGGGAAA